AAAGTAATGACACTAAATAGCAGTAACTTACTATAATTTTCTTTGTATTATGTAATTAAAATTTATTTTACTGGTATGGTTTATATATATAAAGGTCAATAAAATATTTCATTGCTAGGGCCGGGGATTTAGCTCAGTGGTTCCGGCGCCTGCCCTGCAAGTGCAAGGACCCAAGTTCAATCCCCGGTACCAAAAAAAAAAAAATATATTTCATTGCTTAAAAATAAAGCTTTGAGGTGTTTTAATAGCAGAGCAAGTATGAATAAAATGATGTTAAAATAATCCAGCCAACCAAATGGATGGTCTGGCCTGTTTCATTCCTTCTACCTAACTACCCTCTTTCCCTAACCATCTCCATTCATTCCTCACTTGTTTTCCCTCAGTCTTTTTTTTTTTTTTTTTGGGACAGCATCTTGCTGTGTAGCCCAGGCTGGCCTTGAACTTGTGGCACTCCTCCTGCCTCAGCCTCCTGAGGGCTAGGATTACAGGCTTGCCTACCACACCTGGCTTCCTGAGGCTTTCTTATAAATATACAATTACATAAAGAGGTACATTTATACTATAATCCGGGTGCCACCATGTTGCCATCATGTGCACCACTGACGGTCTGTCCACAGCGATGTGGCAAGGTTAACCCTGGGTGTGAAGCCTGGATCATGAAATCCATATCCTTTTGTGGTTCCCAGTGGGGACAAGTGGGTTGCCTGGCAGGAACGGGACACCCTCATTATCATCACATCTACCCCAGTGGGTTCCAATGCCCAATACAGCCAAGGCACAGAAATGCCCTTCCCTAAAGGTGAAGCAGTCTAAGAGTGATGTCAGTGGAAGTGACAGCAAAAGTGAAGGTGCACTGGAAAGTCTCGTGTTCTTGCACACTACACTAGGTGAACCTGTCACAGATGATGGAGAGGATCTAGATGAGGGGTGGAGTTCTCAGAAATAGGGAAGGATCAGGGCATCGTGGAGCGTGCTGGTAATCCTAGCGCTTGGTAGGCTGAGGCAGGAGGATTGTTGCAAATTGAGAACAGCCTGGGCTACATAGCAAGACCCTATTTCTCACACACTAAAAAGTAGGGAATGAAAGGTCTTATCTTATTTGCTCTTCTCAATATATTTTAGAATCAGCTTCTCAAAGTACACCAAAGAAAGAGTTTTGGAACTGTGTGATGTACAGTTTTGGGGGTTTTTTTGGTACCAGGGATTGAACTCGGGTCCTTGTGCTTGCACAGCAGGCGGTGAAACCACTGAGCTAAGTCTCCGGCCCTGAATAGTTTTGATGTAAACCCAATTTGGGGAAAAAATTTTTAGAATACAGAATCTGTCAATCCATTGGAATATTTATGTATACTCAGCTCTTCAGTGATTTTATAATTTTCTACATAAAGGCTTAATCCTTTTTTTTTGGGGGGGGGGGGTTCCAGGGATCGAACTTGGGACCTCATGCTTGCTAGGCAGGTGGCGGAACCACTGAGCTAAATCCCTGGCCCAAGGCTTAATATCTTGAGATTTATTCCTAGATACTTCAGGTTATGAATATTTACAAATGGGGTACATGCCTGTAATCTTAACACTCTGAAAAGAACTACAAATTCAAGCCCATCTTGAGTAACTTAGTGATTTAGTGAGACTCTGTCTCAAAAATGAAAAATAAAAAAGGGCTGGGGATGCAGCTCAGTGCAAAGGGCCCAGGTTCAGTCCCATGTACAGAAAAAAATTTGACTTTGGTGCTAGAGACATAGCTCAGCAGTAGAGTGCTTGGCTAGATGCATGAGGCCTTGGGTTTGATTCCCAGCACCACACACACAGACAGGACACTTCCTTCACTTTCTAGTGTACTTATTTTACTTCTGCCTTGTCAAAAGAAGCCAACTTAAGATTATTTATTTTTTATTATTAGTTAACAGGTAGGTTTCTTTTGGGGGTTACAAAAATCCTCTAAAACTAGATACAGTGACAGGTACACAATTGGGTATATATATAAAAAGCCACGGAGTCAATTTTAAACAGATGAATTTTATGGTATATAAAACAACTGGAGCACTCAGACTCCATTTCAAATTTAAATATTGATATATTGGGTACAAATATTTTGTACCTTCCACTTGTTTCACCTGTTTCCTTTCTATTTATTACTATTTTTTCCATTATTTTTCCCTCTATGGGTTAAGTCTGTTCTCTTTATATTCTTCCTTTTTATTTATTTATTATTTTTTATTTTTTTTTGGTACTGGGGATCAAACTCGGGTCCTCGCGCTTGGGCAGCAGGCAGTGAAACCATATAGTCTTCCTTTTTAAATTTTTATTTATTTTTTGGTACCGGGGATCAAACTCAGGACATTGCACTTGTGAGGCAGGTGCTGCACCACTGAGCTAAATCCCCGGCCCTCTTTTGTTTTTTGAAAAAGGGACTTGCTAGGCTACACAAGCTGGCCCTAACTCTTGAACTCAAACAATCCTACCTCAATTTCCTGGGCAGCTGGAATTATAAATGTCTGCCTAGCTTTAGCTTTTCTTTCTTTTTTTCTTTTCTCTTTTTAGACAGGGTCTTGCTGTGTAGTTCAGGCTGGACTTGAACTCACTATGTAGCCCAGACTGGCCTCAAACTCTCCACAATCTTCCTGCCTCAGTTCTTGAATGCTGGGATTACAGGGGTGTGCCATCATGCCTGGCCTTTTTTTTTTCTGGTACCGGGGATCGAACTTGGGTCCTTCCGCTTGTGAGGAAGATGGTGGAACCACTGAGCTAAATCCCCGGCCCATTCCTGGCCTTCTTTGCATTCTTTTTTTGAGGGGTGAAGAGGAGATTGGGGATTGAATTCAGGGCTTTTGCATTAAGCTACATCCCTAAACCCCTTTTTATAATTCTGAGACAGGATCTTACAAGGTCACAACATTGCCTAGGCTGCGCTCTAACTTGTGATGTTCCTGCCTCAGTCTCTCAGGGTGCTGGGACTGCAGGCGTGTGCCACATGACCGGCCCAGTTTATATTCTTAAATTTCAGTCAACAAGAATTTTAAAACCAACAAACTAGTAGCTTATAATCACAAATTAAAACTTGCTTAGCATATATTTATTCATGTTTTAATTTATGCTACATGAGTGAATGAAATCATACTGTTACTCAACTTAAATCCCTAGGTTGATCAGTTTTCTTTCCCTGTATACTAAAGAACCAAGACAGCCAAAACCTGCAGGGTTGCCAGGCACAGTGGTGAACACAGCACTCAGGAGGCTAAGGCAGGAGTATCACCTTGAGTTTGAGGCATGCCTGAACTTATAGTGAGATCCTGTCTCACAAAAACTAAAAAACTATAGGGTTCTGATTTAACAAACATACTCACAGGCCAAACAGACTGTATTTCTTTGTTTGTTTGTTTTTTTTGGTGGCATCGGGGATCAAACTCAGGATCTTGGGCTTCCAAGGCAGGTGCGGTGTCACTAAGCTAAATCCCTGGCCAAATGGTCTGTTTTTAAACAGCTGTCCCATACATTATTGTGAAGCTGAAATATTCCTATAGTCCAGTGACACTGCAGCCATGCATTACTCATGTGTTTGTGATGATGGTGGTGTAAATAAACCTACTGCACTGCTAGCTGTATCCATATAAAAGTATAGCACAGAGATGGGGTGCAGCTCAGTGGTAAAGCACTTGGCTAGCACGTGGAGGCCCTGTGCTCAATACCCAGCACAGGCAGGGAGGAAGGAGAAAGAAAAACAATTTTGCACAATATGTAATTATTTGGTAAATAAATGACATTAACAGCTGGGTGTGGTGGTGCACACATGTAATTCCAGCACTCTTACAGAGGTTGAGGCAGGATTGCCAATTCAAGCCCAGCCTGGCCAATATACATAGTGCAACCCTGCCTCAAAATAAAGCTGGAAATGTAGCTCAGTGAGAGTAACATCCCTTATACACCTCTGGTTTGCTGCATTTCTTGATTTCGTAAAGAGGCCACAGACAAGAATGACTGGTGCATTAACATATAACTGTTCATGCACACTATGATGTTCACACAATCACAAAATCCGTTAAACACAATTCTCAGAACACATCGCTGTCCTTAAGTGATGCATGACTGCACCCTCTGTATCAAGTATTAGGGCTCCGTTTAACCCACTACCTCCTTTGATCTCTCAACATCCTCATACATTGTTATTCCCCTATGGTACAGTTGAAGAAAACTGCTGCGAAGTTCCATCTGAGATGAACAGATTTCAAAGCTTTTTATGGAACTGTTTAAAGAAAGCTTTAAAGCTTTTTAAGGAATTGGTTTGGAAACTTTCATGTTCTAGACTCTGCCTTGTACTAGCTTTAAAAAGGGGTTGCAAGTGCAAAAGTGGGACGGTAATCCTGAAAGGATTCACTATTAGCTAAAATCACTACACCTGGGCGTGGTGGTACACCCTGTGATCCCAGCTCTCTGGTAGGCTGAGGCAGGAGGAAGGAAAAGTTCCAGTCCTCCCGGCAATTAGCGAGACCCTGTCTCAAAATTTAAAAAGGGGTGTGACCGGGGATTTAGCTCCGTGTTCATCCCCCGTACCAAACAAACAAACAAAAAACAAAAACCAATTAAAAAGGGGTGGAGATGTAGCACAGTGTGGAGTCTCTAGGTTAAGTCCCTAGTACTGGAATAAGATAAACCACGCTATAGAAGTGAATGTGCTCTGCAAAATTCATTCCTTATCAAGTGCCAATCCAAATCAGCTACAGCAGGATACACGAATTGGAACTACAACCTGGTTGATCACAAACGGTAGACAACCAAGTGGGGTTCCCACTCCTGGTGGTACCAGGACCTCTGATTTCTGAGGACACTGGCTCGCAGGAGTCCTTTCTGCGCTCCAGCCTGGGTGTTGGGGTCACTCCACATTCCTCACGGCCCTGAAACGCAGAAACTTTAAGTCCCTACCACGTGTTAACTCGCTACAAGCACTATGTGCAAACCGATAAAAATCTCTCCTGAACCCAGTAATGGAAATAGAGTAGGTAGGTAAAGATGATCCGAATGCCAGGGTCCCATCCTATCCTCTGAAAATCGCATAAAAAGATAAAGGAGGAAAGGATGGAGCCAGAAGCTTTCCTCCAACTTTCTCCCACGTGGGTTGGTCTTTCTCCCCGGCTGGGCCATGCTCGCTCTACTCACCGGCAACCCTTGAGGACGGAAGCCAAGTGCCGTCAAGCAGACCCGACTCCAGGCGCCAGGATACTGAAACCTCCCTAGTTCTAACCTCGGCCCGTCTGACCGGACCTTACAGCTACTTGAGTTCTATCTAGGTCAGGCCCGGCGGCGGCACCCAGCATCGGGTGGTTAAGACGGCGCGCATTCTAAGCATCCCACAGAACGTCTCCCGATTCCCAGTCCTTCCGCCGGACTCACGCACTCACCATGGCTGCAGTTCCCCGGATTCCCCTCTCCTCACGAGCACCCGACGTCACAGAAGTCCGAAAGCCGCACTTAAGAAGGAACGGAAATGGTCGCGAGCGCGGCAGGAAGCGGACGTGACGTCACAACGGGTGGGCGGGCCTCGGTTCCTAGGGAACGCCCATGCGGAAGTGGTCTCTTTTTGAGGAGGTTTAATTTCACTATCCTGTTGCTATAAATTATTGGCTGAAACTATGAGTTAAACAGTCAAAAAGTGGCACACCAAAACAGAGGATTTCAATGGCGTCACCATTCCATTCAGTTTTTTTTGCAGTATTGGGAGATTTAACTCAGGGACGCTCTACCACTACGCTACATCGCCAGCAATTCCCTCCCCCTTATTTTATAGTTTGGTTGCCCAGACGAGACTCAAATTTCTGATCCTACTACCTCAACTTTCCACAGCCGTGCACCCCGGCACTTGACTTATCATTCATTTTTTGAGCACGTTTTTTTTTTTTTTTTTTTGTACCGGGGATAGACCTCAGGTCCTTGCGCTTGCGAGGCAGGCGACGGAACCATTGAGCTAAATACCCGGGCCTTGAGCACATTTTTTGTGCTTTCAAAATCATCTGACTCCAAGCTGATGAAGAAAGGTAACTATTGGTAATCCCCCAATTCGTTTTTCATCATACACCTTGTCAACATCTCTGGTAGGGAATTGAGTTAGGATCCATTAAGTGGGGAAGAGCAGGTTTGGAGTAGGAAGGTAGGTGTTGAATTACTGTCAGGTTGTGTTTGGAGATAAATTAGGACACTGGCCTTTTTTTTTTTTTTTTTTGGTACTGGAGATCGAACTCGGGTCCTTGAGCTTGTGGGGGCAGGCGGCGGCACCACTAAGCTAAATCCCCGGCCCGACACTGGCTTTCTTTTGGCCGGCATCCTGCTCTTCTCAGTATTGCTGCAAATCTCCATTATTTAAGGCTAAACTCATGCCTCATCACTTCCAAGAGCTCCTTGGTCCTTATATCCTTCCTCATCTCTCTCGGATGCTGTACACACCTTGGGACCATTTGGATCAGGCCAAAACTAAACCGTTCAGCCACCAGACCATGGAAAGACGCCTGGAGCGTTGTTACTTGTTGCAACAAGGGATAACACACGCCATGGGGAACTTTGGGCTTCCCAATAAGATGGTGTTATGAAGGGCTTACTGAGGAGGTCCAAAGAAATGAGGTTTCCTTTAGATTATATGCTGTAGTGTTATATGGGCATGGGCTTTTTCACAGTTGGGCAACTTAATCTCTGCTTCAAAGTGAGAGGAATGGAGAGAGGCCAAACCTGTAACTGGTAAAGAGATAACAGTCACTCATAGTAGCCAGGATAAGGGAATGTTTGGTCATTTTTGTGTTTTGGACTGTTCTCATGTTTTTGTCTGTATTTAGACTTGGTTAAGGAATGCTTTTGTTTTTGTCATGATAATCACAAAGTGGCCTTGTCTGATGGTGGCATTTTGTGAAATTGTTTATGTTCAACAGAACTCCAAGGCCAAGCTTCAATGTCAGGGAAGCACCTAGCAACATCATGACAAAGTTGGACCAGTTTCTAGCTGCCATTGGATGCTTTTCTTTTTCTCATGAGTCTCGTATTCCTTCTCTTAGAAGTGAAAGCCCAAACTTATTTTACACCTCTACTCCTTCTCTAGCTTGGGTCTATGAGAGAGTATTGGGTATAAGATGGACTGATATTCAACCAGGATACATGGTACAGTACTTTTTTTTGAGACTGGGTCTTGCTCTGTAGTTCAGGCTGGCCTTGAACTCAAGGTGGTCATTCTACCTTGGCCTCCTGAGTGCTAGGATGACAGGTGTGTGCCACCACACCCAGCTGGGTTCTTAAAATAGAGAAATTATTCCAACTCCTTGGTAAATAGGTGATTCCCCTCCCTGGAACCCCAAGGATCACTTACAGTCCAGTCACAAAAGGGTTAAGTCTGACTGGGTGATGTCCCTGCTTGTTCAGCTACTCTGTACTTTTAATTTTGGTTTTTTGAGACAGAGTTTTGCAATGTAGTTCAAGCTGGCCTTGAACTCACTATGTAGCCCAGGCTAGCTTTGCTCAGCCTCCCAAGTGCTGGGATTACAGGTATGCACCACTACAGCTGATTTACTTTAGACTTCGAATATAGCTTTTGGGTGAAATGGAGTCTTCAGGGTACCATCTGTTCTCCCGCCAACACCAGTCCTGGGATGGGAAAAAGAATTCCCCAACAGGAAACCAGGATACTGTGAGCAAAGAGGAAGGGATGCTGAGTAGTCATAAAAGAATACATGAGGGCTGGGGATTTAGCTCAGTGGCAACGTGCCTGCCTTGCACGCGCAAGGTCCTGAGTTTGATCCCTGGAAAAAAAGAAAACAAAACAAAAAACAAAAAACATAAAAGAATACTGGTATACCAGGGCATGGTGATACATGCCTATAATCCCAGCACTCAGGAGGCTGAGGCAGGAGGACTGTGGCAAGTTCAAGGCTAGCCTGGGCTACATAGTGAGTTCAAGGCCATCCTGAACTACACAGATCTTGTGTAAAAAATTTTTTTAAAAAGAAAAAAGAAAGAAAAGAATATATGCATTCTATACAGTGTTCATTAAATGTTTGATAACTAACAAACTGAAAGACAAATAGATTAAAATATGATAGAGAGAAATAAACACACTGCAGGTTATATCACCCCATCATACACGGAGGAAACTTAGTCCCTTCATTCCAAAGGACAGGGATGTTTAAAACAGATGTTTACTTCTCTTAACTCCTTTTGGACACTTTCCCAACACTGTCCGTGGCTGCACAGAGGGCTGCCGGCCGAGATCAGGTTCCTTTGTGAGGCAGCCTCAGTGACAGAGGTGATGTGGAGCAGGGCCACCCCGCCCCAAGCTGGCTGGGTCAGCCACACCAGTCCTGCCCTCCAACTCTGTAACACCACCCATCTGACCTAAGCTTTGCCATGTTGCTGCCACTGCTGGGTGCCTGTGCCCTGGTGGAGCCATTTTGGGGCCCTGAGTGGGAGCCGGTGCAGGGCTTGCTGCCCCAGGACTGCAGCTGCAGGGATCCCCGGTGCTGCAGCAACCTGCTTGTCCTCTGCCTCTTTCTGATCTGTCAGGTCTGCCATTTCTTGTACAAGCTCACCAGGATCTGCTCCATCAAGAAGAATATCAACAAGGTGAGTGGTCCCTTCACACTTCCTTCCATCAGCTCCATGAATGTCCCCATCACGTGCCATAAGGACCCTGTCCCGTCCCCTGTGAACCCAGAGATGAACTGAAGAGTAACTTAGGCCCCACCACCCAGACTCCAAACCTAGGAGTCACTTGGATTGTTCTGTTTCCCTCACTGACACATGGCAATTCATCCGCAAGTCCTATGGGCACTACTTGCAGATTGCATTTCACATAGGATCACTTCTGGAAACCTTGCCACACCACCCTGGGCAGAGCTGGCAAAGGGTCTCACCTGGACCTCAGGAATGGCCCTCTTCCTGGTTCCTGCTGGCTCTCTGGCCAAGCCATGGTCATTCTTCCGTGCAGCCACCAGCCACAGTAACATTCTTTCTCTTGCTCTTTTTAAAAAATTCAGTGGTTTCGCCACCTGCTGCGCAAGCGCAAGGACCAGAGTTTGATCCCTGGTACCAAAAAAATAAAAAATTCAGTGCAGCCAGGAATGGTGGTACATGTCTATAATCCCAGTCCTCTGGGAAACTGAGGCAGGAGGAGCACAAGTTTGAGACCAACCTGGGCAACTTATCAAGACTGTTTCTCAATGAAAAATAAGGGTTGGGGATGCAGCTTAGTGAGAAGGGGCCGATTCAATCCCCAATACTGGGGCCGGGGGGGGGGGGAGGAAGGAAGGAAAGGAAGAAGGGGGGGAGAAAGAAAAGGAAAAGAAAAGAAAAAGAAACCAATCAATCAACCATTGGCTTGGAGGTGTAGCTCAGAGGTAGAGTGCTTGCTTGCCTAGTATTCATGAAGCCCTGAGTTTGGCCCAGGTTTTTTGTTTTTTTTTGGTACCAAGGATCAAACTTGCAGTCTTGAGCTTGCGAGGCAGGTGCTGGAACCACTGAGCTAAATCCCCAGCCCATGAGGGCCCTGAGTTTGATCCCCAGCACCGTAAAAGGGTGGTGGGAGGGGCAGAAACAGATCACTACCCAGAAACAATGCAGTCACAACTCTGCTGATTGCTACTAGACCAGTGTTTTCTGTATGAAATCATATTGTTACAGACAGCTGAGTTGGTAGAAATATTCTAGGCAGTCAGACACAGCGAGGCCCTCTAGGGAGTCAGTGGAGAGGATGAGAAGACATCACAACTGTGGCTAGGGGCGCATCTGTCAAAGGCCAGGCCTCAAGATAAAGATGGAATGACCAGGTCTAAATGCCTCCCCAGGGGATAAGCAATAAATTAAAGATTATATTATAATTGGTATCACTTGGTCCAGTAAAGTCTAGCTAGACATCAGTCACCCAGGTGGTTGACCAGGACCTCCTGATCTAACCCTTCCTAAAAGGTCTTTGTTCTTTCCATGTATACCTGCTATGTGACCTGGTTCCCCATTGGATCAATGTTACCTAAATGGTTGTACGTGTAATCTTATTGGTTAATCATAGTTTTGACCCACGTTGTACCTTCCTGGTGATTTTGTACCCACCTCATGCTTTTGTTCTATAAAACTTTCTCTAATGCTGGGGATTTAGCTCAGTGGTCTCGATGCCTGCCTCGCACATGCAAGGTCCTGAGTTCAATCCCCAGTACCAAAACCAAAACAAAACCTTCTTCTAAGAAATGGGCTTGCTGGCAACCCACTTTCAGGTCCCCCTCCTGTCTCTCAGGAGCTATCTCTCTCAATGAACGTTTCCTACTCTTAACCTCTGTTGTTCCTTAGAATTCCTTTTCAATTCTGGGGAACATAAACTTGGCATATTGGACATCCAGCAGATTGGGAGTTACATTTATTTCCGCTGTATCAATATGGTGAGTAATCTGTATGGCTGCCTTAGTGCAGCATTGTTTGTGAGCTAGAACAATCTTTTAAAAACAGATCATCACACTTTGCTCTTCAAAACCCTGTACAGCTCGTGTGGATATGCTCCCTGTCAAACTCAGAATAAAACTCAGGTTCCTAACCACAATTCTTTTTTTTTTTTGGTACTGGGGGTAGAACTCAGGTCCTTGCGCTTGTGAGGCAGGTGGCAGAACCACTGAGCTAAATCCTCGGCCCACCTAACCACAATTCTAAGGCTTGATGTCATCTCCGATGTGTTTGTCCTCAAGGTCATTTCCCAGCACCCTCCTGGTTACTGACTCCATCCTGACCCAATGGTCCTCTTTGCTGTTCCTGTACATGGCCTTGTTTCTGTCCTCAGGGCCTTTGCACAGGGCTCTTTCCTCAGATAGCTGTATTTGTCTTTCCCTTCATTCAGGTGTCCAGTAATATGTCACCTACTCTGAGAGGCCTTCCCTGACTGCTCTGTCTAAAGTTGCTAACCCCGGCCCCACTCTGATTTATTTTCAATGTTCGATTCCTAACATTGTTATATATTTGGTTACTGTATTCCTTCCATGTCTAGAAAATAGCTCCCAGCTGAGACTTTGTCTTGTTCCTGTCAGTGCCCCAGTGTCTAAACCAGTGCCCTGCCCAGAGTAATACCTCACTTTTTTATGTATTATTATTATTATTATTATTATTACTATTATTATTAGGTGTAACATTGGGGATTGAACCCAGGGGCTTTGCACTCAGCTACATCCCAGCCCATTTTATTTATTTTATTTTGAGGCAAGGTTTCTCAAATTTGCAGGCTGGTCTGGGCTTGAACTCATGATCCTCTTGCGCCAGCTTTCCAGACTGCCGGGATTACAGGCATGCACCACTACATTCGGTTTCACTCTCCTGCATGAACAAATTCTATTTGCTTTAAATGAAGTGGCTTTACCTTTCCGAGCACAGGCATCGTCTCTGCATAGTAGGGGTGATCATTCTGATCTTCAGGGTTATAGGAGGTAACTGGTGTGCAAGGCTCTGCTTCTTTGATCTCGCCCACAGGTGCCCCACCAGACCTGGATAGTTCCCTTCAAGGTGCAGCTACCTTTGGGCTGACTCCTGAATTCTTCAGTCCTAGCCACTTCAGTGACCTGGAAGCTCACATCAAACCTGCAGCCCAAAATCTGAGATGGAGATACCAGAGGAGCCTGCAGGAAGCCTGGGCCCAGTGCCTGTTCTGTCCACAGCGTCTGTGTCAGGGCTCACCATGGAGCCCCTGCACCCTCTCTGAGTCCATCTTTGGCACCTCCTCCCTTTCAAGCACCTGTCTGCTTCCTCAGAACAGTTCCTGGGAAGCATGGCACGTGCCCTGGTATCTCAGGGATGGCCAGCTTCACCCTGCCCTGCACACCCGCCAAAGGACAGAGCAGCTGCTGGTTCAGACCCAGGAGGTGTTGGTGCCCCAGGAGCACACCTTCAGCAGGAGGGCTGGCCCCACCTCCATGACCTTAGCCATCTCTCTCCCGGACTACCCTGCAGTTTGGAGGCTGCAGGTCTGCCCCAGAGAGTCCCTGCCTTGTCCTTCCAACCAGCAAGTGGGAATGCTCACCTGGAAGGCCTGGGTGAGCTCACAAGAGACCTGGACACCACGGAGTGACACTCAGACAATAGGCAGAGAATACAGTGGAGAGACCTAGGGTTCTGTGTGGAGGACCCAGAGAGAGGGCAGAGAGAGCCAGGTAGCTGAGGGCCAACTCCCAACAGACTCTGGAATAGAGGACGGTGCAGAGGTGAAGGCCCTGCGATGCAGAAAGCAGAGATTAGGAATCAGAGAAACTGATGGAGAGATCCTGACGCCAGAGTGGGAAAGCCAGATGGGAGTAGAGAATAGAGCCCAAATTGAGGAACTAGAGAAGAAAACACAAAGTGCAGCTGAAAGTAAGCAGGCTCCTGTGGGGGAGAACCAAGCACAGCTAAGATGCAAAGCTGATGTGGAGACCCAAACTCCCGAGTGGGGGTCCCAGGATAAGAACAGGTGAGAATGCTGTGGAGACACAGACATATGATGGGAAGAATCAGAAAGAGGCTAGAGAAGAGGAAGAGGGAGAGATCCAGGCCTGAGGACTAGAGAAGCAGGGCCACCCTGGAGGGGACAATGGTGAGAAGGCCTTGTCTGCAGAGCAGGGGAAACAAAGCCAGATGAGAAGGGATACTGGTGCAGAAACAGAGGTCAAAGAGGGGAAAAACAGGGGCCAGGTTGGAAGTGGGGAGGCTGTGCAAAGCCAGACATCTGGGGGAGAAAACCAGGGAGTCAAACGACAGGATGGTGCAGAGACCCAGGCCTGGGAGTGGGGGAAACAGGAGTGCATTGGAAGCGAGAAAGTTGCAGAAATCCAGACACTAGTGCAGGAAAAGCAGGATCAGGGTGAAAGTGAGAAAGCCAGGGATACTGAAGTTCGTAGGGGAGAGAACCGGAAATTGTCAAAACATCCTATTCAGGTAGGGTGGGAAGACCAAGGCCTGGGAAGGGGTGAGGATGCTGGGGAACCTCAGATATCTAGGAAGAAGCAGTTCAGGGAGATAAGAGAAAAGGATTGGGTGATGATCAAAGCACCCTGGTGGGGAAACCAGAGACTAGTGGTGAGTGAATTTAACAGAGAATTGAAGACAGCATGTCAGGGGAACCAGAGCCAGGTTGGAGATGAAAATAGAACAGAAATTCAGGCAGCAGAGGAGAGTGAGCAGAGAAAGAATGGAGATGAGGATGGTACAAACACCCGGGTGCCTGAGGCAGAGAACAAGGGAGAGTTAAGAGGTGAAAGTGATGTGGAGACCCATCTAGCAGGAAGGCTGACCAAGGAGTGGTTTGGAGATGGGAACAGAACTGACATTCAGGCGCCAGAGAAGAGAAACCTGAGTGGAGTCAAAGAGGAGGGCGGTGCAGAGAGCCAGGAAGTTGGGGAAGAAAGTCAGGGTCAGCTAGGAAGTGAATTTCATGGAAAGAGTTACATTCCAAAGTGGAAGAATCAGGAACATTCTAGAGGCAAGGATGGTGCAAATGTTCAGGCATATGAGACAGAGAACTGGGGAGAATTAACAAGTGAGACTGATGGAGAAAATCAGCAGGGTGGAAGAAAGGGGAGCAGGCTAGGGGTGAGAATGGGGAAGAAATCCAAATAACAACGATGAGAAACTTGAAAGGAGCTGGAGGGGAGGCAGGTGCAGAGACAGGGGCAGCTGGGGAGGGAACCCAGAGCCAGGCAGGAAGTGATGTGGACAGGAAGAGCCATTTGTCAGAGTGGAAGAATCAGGAACAGAGGAGAAGTGAGGATGGAATGGAAATCCAGGCTCCAGAGAGGAGAAGCCAGAGAGTTGGTGGAGGGCAAGATGGTTTAAGGACCCAGAGACCTGAGAGAGAGAACCAGGGAGGATTGCAGAGTGAAATTGGAGAGTGCTATTCTCTAGGCAGGGGAAGCTGGGATCAGACTGGAGGAGAGAACATGGCAGAAAATCAGGCATCAAAGAAGAGAAATCAGAAAGAGGCTGGAAATGAGTGTGGTGGAAGGTTCCAGAGACTTACAAGTAAGAAACTAAGTCTGTTAAAAAGCAAAGTCAGTGGAAAGAGCTGTTCATCTGAATGGAAGAATCAGGAACAGATTGGAGGTGGGAATGGTGTGAAAATTCAAATACGAGGGAAGAGAAACCCGATAGGAACAACAGGTGGTGATGGTACAGAGTCCCAGGCACCAGCGAGTGGTGGCCAGGGACAGCCTACAAGGCAAACTGATGGAGAGACCCAGACCCAAGGGCCAAGAAACCAGAACACAAGTGGAGCTGAGGACACTGTAGAAATCTGGGACGTAGGGAGCCAGAGAAAATGCTGACCTGAGGATGCTACGGTGTCTCAAGCACCAAGAAGCAGAGATGAGGGTCAGGTGAGAGGAAAGGGTGCTGCCAGGGCCAGGCTCCACAGTGACTGCTGTGGGGGTGAGGGGCCCACAGCCAGAAAGTGCAGCCTGGCATGGCCCACAGCTCTCCATGGCTCTGGATCTTGGGCCTTGGACCAGGAACAGGCAGCGGCTGTAAATGGTGGAGCCCCTGCTGCCTGTTCTGAGATGAAGACTTGCCCTGGCTGGGGTGGGGGTTACCTGCTGGCTGGTGCGGAGGGAGAGCATCTGGCCAGATGGGGCACAGCCCCTGCCAGTGAGCACAGAGCAGCTATCAGCCCAGCCTCCCAGCAGGCCCCACCTGGATCCCAGAGAAGACGGCAAGGGGACAAAAGGGTAGATCCAGCAAGGGCCTCCAGCCTGACACAGCAGCCCTGGAACCCACAGTCTCTAGGTGTGCCCTCTGCCTGCCCCTCTCTCCCATGTGCCCGAGTGCCCCACGCTGCTAGAGCCCTGGCATGTGCCCCCACTGTACCTCCCAAGCAGCCAATCCTCAAGAAGAGCAGACAGCTGCTCCTGGAGTCCCTCATGCGACGGAGGATTGCACACCTGAAGTGGGGCCTCCCTCGGCGGATCCTGGAGTCTTATCTGCTCTTTAGCTTCTTAGGCCCTTGCTCAGGGCCCCTTCCTGGGTTATGCACAGGTCAGGAGGTCCAAAGAGAGCAAGAAAAGCACCATGGAGCCCAGGGATCCACACCAGGCCTTAAATCTCCAAAGACACTTCAAAGAGTTCTACTTCCTGAAAGAAAAAGTACAAAACTTCCCACACAGGTCAGTACCAACGGGTATTTCCATTCCACCTCAGAAGCCCAGGAGAGCTACGCCACCAGGGGGCGCCAAAGAACGACAGATCCAGCAAGCGGCCCCCGCGGTCAGGGTCCCTGCTCCCAGGAACCACAGCCCTGCAGAGCCTAGGAGCTGGTGTGGCCCAGGAAGTGTGGGAGAATCTTCCAGTGGAAACAGCAGAGGCAGGACAATGATCAGGCCAGGGGTCTCCGAGATAGCAGAGAGGGCTCCCAGAAGAGCAGGGACTTCACCCTCCAGGGCTAGCCATAAACAATGGAAGGAGCACAAATCTTGGGCCTCTGAGGGCCCCAGACTCAAAAGTGAGCAGCCCACTTACTGGGCAAAAGGAAGCCCTGAGCCCATGCAGGGTGGAGGGCCTGAGCAGCAGCCTGCATCCTGTTCCCCAGACACCTCCAGCTTCAAAAGGAGTCTCTACTGGGCTGCAGCCAGGCTGAGCATGAGGTCCTGGCGCTTACAGCTGGCCAGGCCCCAGCCTTGGGCCCTTGACCTGAGGGGTCCCAGTCTGCTTCCCAACGTGGGTGATCTGCATGCAGGGGAGGGCAGCATCAGAGTCAGTGCTGCTTTGGAGCCGGACCTTCAGCCCCCAGGGCTCTGCTGGGCCAGGGCAGCTCTGCCCAGGACAGAGACCCACCAGAGTCAGGGGGCCCGATGGAATCTGACAGCTGCTCCCCAAAGGTTTCATTTTATGAAGCATTTGCAATGGTTTTTCTTCCAGTGTGGCATTAAAAAGTAGGGCACAGGCCGAGTCATCAGAACATGTGAGTGGCCTGCTCAGCCCCAACCGCTAATAAAATTGGTTATTTGGGCCCTGTAGGGTTCAGATTTCTTTGGCATAAGTTTTCTGAATGCCACCTTTTGGGGTTTGGAACACTTTATGGGTGGGATAGAAGCCTCTTCTATCCTGTTTTGGATTTGAGGAATGTGGATTGGCCCAATGTCATCTTCTAAAGACACTTGTCCCCCACCTGGGTCTTCATAGTAGAGTCCACTGAAGTTTCTCTCATGGTTCTTTTTTGGGGGGACCCTGTAGTCTCACTATGTATTTCAGGCTGGCCTTGAGCTCACTATGTAGCACAAGCTGGCCTCAAACTCCTGGTGATCCTCCTGCCTCAGTCTCCTGAGAGCCGGGATAACAGGCATGTGCCATCGCACCTGGCTCCAGGCTAGACTTTAACTTGCAATCCTTCTTTCTTGGCCTCCCAAGTAGCTAGGATTACAGGAATGCATTTATTGTGGTAAAATACATAGAACAAAATTTACCATCTTAAGCATTTAAAAAAATTTAATTTTTATTAGCATGTGTTTGCAGTATGTAATGATGACATTCCTTGTGGGGAACACATAACACATCTTCATTCTTTTTCTGCCCCCTTCCCCTCCCTGCCCTCCCTCCTAACCATTTTAAGTGTGCAGTTCAGTGTCATTCATAATGTGTGGCCATCACACCATCTACCTCCAGAATGCTTTTCATCTTGTACAGCTGAAACTCTGTATCCACTATACCCACTAAACAAGGACTCCTTATATTCTTCTCCCCAAACCTCTGGCAGCCACCTTTCTGCTTTCTGTCTCTCTCACTGTGAGTACCCAAAGTACCACATATATGTGGATTCATATAGTAATCGTCTCTTTATGACTGGCTCACTTCAAGCAAACAAAAGTGCTTTTAAAGCTGTTTGGTATATACCCAGTATTAGAATTGAGTAATATATATATTATAATATATATATATAATATATAATATATATTATATGTTATATATATATATATTTTTTGGTACTGGGATCAAACTCAGGACCTTGCACTTGTGAGGCAGGCTTGGTGCCACTGAGCTAAATCCCCGGCCCAGAGCACTATATGTTTAATGTTATTTTTAATTTTTTTGAGGAACTGCCATACTGCTTTCCCCAGTGTTGCTACCACCAACAGAGCACGAGTTTCCAGTGTTTCCACATTTTCACTCACATTTGTTATTTTCTGTTGTTTTTGATAGCAGTCATCATAGCAGATATGAGGTGGCATCTCACTGTAGTTTTCTGATTTGCATTTCTTTACTGATTAGTGATGTTGAGTATCTTTTCATGTGCTTACTAGCCACTCATAGATCTTCTATGGAGAATTGTCTATTCAAGTCCTTTGCCAATTTTTTGGAATCAGGTTTTTGTTGTAATAGTTATTGAATTTTAGGAGTTCTCTATATATTCTACTTATTAGTCCCTGATCAGATATTCAATTTGCAAATATTTCCCCCTATTCTGTGGGTTGCCTACTGATAGTCTTTTTTTTTTTTTTTTTTTTGGTACTGGGGATTGAACTTGAGTCCTTGCACTTGCCAAGCAGGCAGTGAAACTACTGAGCTAAATCCCGAGCCCTTTGATAGTCTTTTGATGCAAAAATTAAAATTTTTCATGAAGTCCAATTTGTCTGTTTTTTCTTTTGTTGCCTTATCTTTTCTATTTTCAAATTCATTATAAAAGTGATATGTGAGGGCTGGGGATTTAGCTCAGTGGTTCCATTGCCTGCCTTGCAAGTGCAAGGTCCCGAGTTCGATCCCTGGTGTCAAAAAAAAAATGATATGTGTTTATTCAAGAGTTTAGAAAATTCAAAAAAGGAAAAAAGATCATAATCCTATCACCAAGTTAATGTTTTGATGTATTTTCTTCCTGTTTTTTTTTGTTTTGTTTTGTTTTTAATTTTTTTTTTTTGCAGTATTGGGGATGGAACTCAGGGTCTTTGCATTGAGCTACATCCCCCTTTTTCCATTTCTTAACTTTTGAGAGAGTCTCTCACTAAGTCTCTAAATTGCTGGGGCTGGGGTCTAATTTGAGATCCTCCTGCCTCAGGTGAGTGCTGGGAGTACAGGTGTTGCCACCACACCCAGCCCTTCCTGTTTTATTTTTAATCCACTGCTGACCACAGGGTGTTCCCATAGCAATCAGTCCTACCTTTATCACAGCTCTCACTCTAGCGATGGCCTCTAGGGGTCGCTACCTCCTGGTATTCATGACTTGAGTCTCTCCTTAGATGGGATTGGATCCAGTGACTTATTTCTAACAAATGGGATAAAGTAGAAATGATGAAATGTCACATATATCTTGCTTTTTGTGGTGCTTGGATTAAGCCCAGGACTTCACACTGAGCTACATGAGAAAGGTTCTCACTAAATTGCTAAATTGTCCAGGCTAGTCTCAAACTTGGGATCCTCCTGCCTCAGCCTTCTAGACTGGTGGGGTTACAGGCATGCAACACCACACATGGCTCCGAATTTCACTTCTGAGAAGGGGTTACAAAGACTAGCTTCCATCTTGGGGACCCCTCTGGCTCCTTGCTTGCTCCTGAGGGCAGCTATGCTCCATGTTCTAAACTGCCCTGTGGAAAGTCACATGTGACAAAGAATTCAGGAGGCCACTGGACAACAGCCATTGAGAAAATAGCCTGGCTTGTGGTTCCAGCTACTTGGGTGGTTGAGGCAAGCGGATCATGGGAGCCCAAGAGTTCCAGGACAGCCCAGGCAACACCACAAATTGGGTGGGTTAAACAACTAAAATTTATTTTCTCACAGTTCTGGAAGTTAGAAGTCCAAGACCAAGATTTGAGCTGATTTATTCTCTGGCAAGGGGCTCTTGTTGGCTTGCAGATAATGGCATTCTCCTATGTCTTTGCACGGCCTTTCCTTGGTGTATATGTGGAGGGAGAAAAACATGCAATAATGTTACTGGACTGCTGCCGGGGTTGAGTCCCATGGTGATGAAGAATGAAACTGAGGATGGAGGAGATAGGGTGCAAGCAAATTTATTTTTATTTTGGCTTTTTGAGACAGGGTCTTGCTTGGTAGTTCATACTGGCTTTGAACTCACTATGTAGCCATGGCTGGCCTCAAACTTAACAGTGATCCTCCTGCCTCAGCCTCCCAAGTGATGGGATTACAGATGTGTGGCATCATACCTGGCTTAGACTATATATTATTTTTTAAAATTTCTTTATTAGGGCTGGGGATTTAGCTCAGTGGTTCTGCTGCCTACTTCACAAGTGCAAGGTCCTGAGTTCCATCCCTGGTACCAAAAAAAAATTTCTTTATAAAAGTGTTACTATTATATTTAAAATGTTAAAGTAATTACTGTTTAAAATATATCTGCTTAGCATGGTGGCACACACCTGTGATCCCAGCACACAGAGGGTGAGGCAGGAGGAATACCATGAGCTTGAGGCCAGCCTAGGCTACATAGTTCCAAGGTCAGCCTGAACTACATAGTGAAACCCTGTCTCTAAGAAAAAAAAATGTTTGAATGTTTTCTTTCTCAAAGATTATTTCATAATCTTGCATTGCATAACTACTGTTTTCCAAACTCTTCCTCATGGAGAGCATGTTTTCCATTCACAGTGCTTCTGAACTTCAGCTGGGAACATTGATAAGCAAGTTCCTGGTCATTGATGGACTGCTGTTAATAAATTGTGTTGTAAAGTCTTTTCTTCTTCAGTATTCCTTATGCACTCACAAAGTCCTAGCCCTCTGTGAAAGAATATTTTAACGGAGTGTCTCAGCTTCGAGAGAAAGGTGCCATGGAAATGTAACATAATATTAATAACCTTTAGAGAAAAATCTCTGAGATCATTTATTTTTTTCTGTACTGGGGATTGAACCCAGGCCTTAACACTGAGCTTCGTGCCCAGCCCTTTTTTATTTTGAGACAGGCTCTTACTAAATTGCCCAGGCAGGACTCCAATTTGTGATCCTCCTGCCTCAGTCTCCCAAAGCGCTATTTGCTCTTTTTTTTTTCTTTCCGTACAGGGGACTGAACTCAGGACCTTGCGCTTGCGAGGCAGGAGTGACGCCAATGAGCTAAATCCCCGTTCCCCCAAAGCGCTGATACTACAGGCGTGTGCCATCACGATTGGATTCATTTTTTTTAAAAAGCAGAAAGACTTCTCTTTCTGTTAGTTTCAGGGCTGTTAACAGGTACTTTATAAATGCCTTCCAACTTCGGTGTAGCGGAGACCAACTCCAGCAGATTCAAGGCCCAACCGCTTTGGACTTCGTCGGGTCCACTCCAGCGTCAACGGAGCCACCACCAGTCCTCCAGAGACGCCGAACGCCTGAGACCATCGTCAACTCGGCCCGCGCAAGCGCATTACACACACGTGAGTGCGCGTAGGCCTTTTTTTTTCAAGTGCGCTTGCGCATACGCTGCGCGGGAAAGAGCAAGGCGCTGCAGGGTGCGAGCGACTGAGATGGCTGTGCAGAGGTCACTGGCGGCTTGCTGTGTAGGACTCAGGAGAGACGAAGACGCGATGCTGCTCCTAGAAAGAACCCATTACCGACATGACCCGCGCTGGCTGCTGCCAGTGTCCCCGCGCCTCTGCCTGGCCTGCCTGCTGGAGCTGCTGCCGGAGTCCGGGGTGTCGGTGCGGTCTCAACCACCTTCCCCTGAGACCTGAGCTCGAGCGCTTCCCTCACCCCAGGGCTGCCTCCTCCAGGCCCTCGCCTTCCTTTCGGCGAAACTGGGCTACCCTACCCTCGGTCACCCCCTCGGATCCCGCGGAGCCCCTTTCCATTCTGGACCCTGTTCCCGCGCCTGCGCTGTGTTGACGCCTGGGACCCCTCAGCGACTGCGACTCACCCCTCCCCCGCCCTGGCTCCGCCATTTGCTCCCCTCCGACCATTTCTCCAGGAATTAATTCAGCCTCAGCTTGGCTCCCGCCCATTTTACTCCCAGCTCAGCTTGTGGATCAGGCACCCACATAGCGGGAGCTCCCCTCGTTCTCTCCAGTTCTCTGAGGTGTAACTGGGGGGAGAGGTGCCTTGGTCCCTGGGGTGGCAGAGGTTGGAGACAACCGGAAGTAGGGTGAATGGGCAGAGCTGGCTCAAGCCTGCACTGCCTGTTTCCCTCAGTTCCCTCCCACCTTTGCAGGGAGTTTTTTGTCCTTGGGTGGCATCTAAGAAGAGTTCAGGTACCAGTAGCTTTTCAGATTCATGGGAAAGGAATTCATATCTTGGAGTAGAGGAAGGGAAAGCTAGATCAGAGGTTCTCAAAAAAAATTTGTCTTTTTTTTTTTTTGGTTTTGGGGATCGAACTCAGGTCCTTGCGCTTGCGAGGCAGGCGTCGGAACCACTGAGCTAAATCCCCGGCCCAAAAGTTGGACGTTTTATTTTTTTTTGGTACCAGGGATCGAACTCAGGTTCTTGCGCTTTCAAGGCAGGCAGCGGAACCACCGAGCTAAATCCCCAGCCCTTGTCTTGGTTTTATTTACACGTTTAAAAATGGTTGCAGACGTCAAAGAGATTTTGTGTGGGTTTATCCACTGATCCATTACTGTTTCAGAAATTTTTAAAAAGTAAAGATATTTATATAAAAATAATAGTAATTTCACTACATATTTATTGTGGTAAAAATATATAACTGACAGTTTACCATTTTACCCCCTTTTAAGTGTACAGATTTATGGCATAAGTAAATTTAAAGAAAAAAAATTTTCCCCAAACAAAAGATAGTGCTGGGTGTGGATTGCAGGCCTGTAATCCCCAGCACTTGGGAGGCTGAAGCAGGAGGATCGCTGCCAGTTGGAGACCAGCCTGAACTACCTAGCAAGACCCTGTCTCAACAAAGATAGTAGAAGGGGCTTGTTTTTCCTTTTTGCAAGTCACTTTAATGTCGGGCTTAAAAGAAGACAGTTGGATGCTCACCTATTTTTTATTTTTAAATTTTATTCTTTTGGGTTTTTGAGACAGTCTCTCTATGTAGTTTAAGTTGGACTTGAACTCACTACATACCCCAGGCTGCCCTCTAACTAATAATCCTCCTGCCTCAGCCTCTCATATGCTGGGAGTACAGATGTGCACCACCATGCCCGGCTCTCATCTATTTCTGCAATTAGTTTGTTGCAGTGTCACATATCTTTGCAAAACTCCACTGTACAGTTGTGAGAGTAAGAGTGAAAAGGCCAAATCTTTTAGTGTTATATAAAATATTTTTGGACTTGTGAGCCCCTGGAAAAGGTTTTGGGCATTGTCAAAAGTGTCCACACACTGAGAACCGCTGACCTAGCTCATAACCTGTGTGATTTCACTGAGGTGAGGCATTCTGAGGCTATTTATGAACAGTAAATCAGATGAATAAGTGCAGTAGAGGAGAAGATAAAAGATCACGTTACTGGGAATTTAGAGGAATGGATATGTTTTGTGGTCAAGTGCTGTGCAAGGTAAAGAGGGGAATTAGGTTTTTTTAGGGGTGGAATCATTTGAATTAGCCCTAAGCAGGCAGTTAGCTTTGAAATGAGTGTGAGAGATAAGTGTGACACCTAAATGGTGTTTGAAGGGAAACTGAAGGAATTGAGGTTACAAAGCCAAGTTGAGATCAGTACCTTGAAATGTTTAAATCTGAACAAGGGAGCTTGAACTTAATCTGTCCGGAGAAGGGAAGTGATTGAGGTTTTTTTTTAGTAGCACATTTAGATGATTAGTTTAAGCTATTGGGTAGAATGAATTGGTGAAGGAAAAACAGGAAACTCACAGTAGCATAGATTAGAGGCAATAAGACATGCAGCTTTAGGGCTGGGGATTTAGCTCAGTGGCACCGCGCCTGCCCTAGTATTAAAAAAAAAAAGACATGCAACTTTACCTTTTTATTGAATGTACTTTTCTCAGCCTCAGTTCTCATCTGTTGAAGAGGTCAAGTAGATAGTTGTAGCTGTATTCCTGGCCTATCCTCAATGTTCACCTCTTTTGACCTCACTTCTTACTGTCTTGAGAACCTTTCCAAGCTGTTCAGTTCTCTGTGTATGGAAGTAACTTGAACATAAGGATTTATGCCCACATTGAATGGAAAAATGTATTTTCTCTGCCTTTTTTTTTTTTTGGTACCGGGGATCAAACTCGGGTCCTTCCACTTGCAAGGCAGGTGTCGAAACCACCAAGCTAAATCTCCAGCCTTCTCTGCCTTTTCTGTGAGACTAATGAAGAGTTCCCAGACTGTTGAAGTGGAAAGAGTGCTGACATTAGTTAGACAGTATCTGGTTGGGGACTTAGATTTGAGTCCTTGGGAAAATGTCTGAGTCTCAGTTTCCTTATCTGCTTATCTCCTAAGTGGTGATAGTGTATATTTTTGCTTGCTTTACCATCTTGTTAGGTTTAAATGATTTGTGAAGAGTAAAGTGCTATGTAAATATATGTAAATATAGAGCAGGAATCTCAGCTCACATATACCTCTGTATGAATACACAAATTCCCTACTACAAATGATGGTTTTGTCCAGGATTTCTGTAGGGAATATGGATCTCACTTCAGTTCAGATGGCAATTCTATTTCTATCTTGTAATTATATCTTGAAATTACAACTTTGGGGGGGTTCAGAATGACTGAGATTTGCTTGTCATTAAGTATTTTTCTTCATTTGTTCCAAGCTGGTTCGCAAGAAGCACGTGTTGTCCTGCTTCCGAGATGCCCTTTTGAGGCATGCCTCCTTGGTCACACAGCTGGTGGCTCAGGACCAGAGAGTCTGCATCCACTTCATAAGCATGCTTTTTGGTGAGATTAAAAAGGAAACAGCATGATTTTGCATATGTAGCATTTATATTTACTTTGGGGGTCTTGAGGAGATGGTCTTAGAAAGATGATTTAGGTTTTTGGTATTCTAACAGTTTATTTGCAGGTTTTTTTGTTATAATGATGGAGATAAAGGCCCCTTTCTAATATACATGAGTCACTTTATGGTAATTGGTCTGACTAGATCTAAGAGATTGGTAAGAGTGTAAAGATGAATGTTGGAAATGCATGATTCTTTTTAAAGCGTCTGGTCTAGATTTTGTACAGGATCATAAAGCTTGGAATGGAGTCTGCTGACCTTTGTGTGTCCATGATCAAGTTACACTATTTCCTTTCTCCTGTTCCTTAGTTTCTTCATGTCTAAAGTGAGATGGATTGAATTTTTCAAGTTACACTATTTCCTTTCTCCTGTTCCTTAGTTTCTTCATGTCTAAAGTGAGATGGATTGAATTTTTCCGGTTGTCCTTTCTGATTATATGATTGTAATGTTCAACAGAATGAGTACTTTTTGAGAGGAGGGCAGCTAACTCATGTTGGGTGCTTCTCTATGTCAGAAGCTTTTCAGATTTTTTTTAAACTGCCAAGACAGTTCTTTAAGGGAGATAGGATGATCCCTGAGGCTCAGAGAGGTTGTAGTGAACAAATAGCAGAGCTGGAATTTTACCCCAAATCTGTCACAGACTCCAGAGTACACAGTTTCTGTTGTGCCATATTGACAGTTCTCATCTTTTTATTTTATTTATTTTTTTGTTGGTATCAGGGATTGAACTTGGGACCTTGCGCTTGGGAGGCAGGGGACAGAACCACTGAGCTAAATCCCTGGCCCGTTCTCATCTTTTTAAAGGCGGAGCAGGTCATTGAAAATCTAGGTGTTTGGTACTGAGGATGAAATTTAGCTGGAACATTATTTTAAGCTGTTAGTTTTAGAATTCACAGTTTGCTTTTTTAGATGTGTTTCTCTTAAAGAGAACTGTTAACCATCCTTTTCTTATCTCCCTCTGCTTCAAGGATTTTTATGCAGTGTGGAAGATGGGAGTGTAACGGACCTCAGTATTGAAGGTAAGGTAAAACCACATGTACCCAACATTCTAAACTGAGACTAGTAGCTTGAATTGCAGTCTGGTTACTTGAGATTTTGGTGAAGTTGCTCATTTAGAAACACAGAGATCTCAAGTAGCTATTAATCCTTAATTCTTTATGTTTTTCTTAGGCATCTGCCCAGTGCAAGGCAGTGCACCAGGCACTAGGAATAGATACATAGATAGATAAGATGTGGTCCTTGTCCTCTGAGAATTTACAATGTAGAAGAGAGATTGATTGAAAAATAACTGGAGTTGATGAGTGCTGTTGTAAAGACACGTAAAAAACTCTAGAGGTTTGTGTGATTGTTTTTTGCAGAACTGGGGATCTAACTCAGGGCTTTGCATGAGAGGCAAGCACTTTTCCTTTCAGTTGCATGCCCAGCTCCATTCTTTTTTTTTATTTTTTTTATTACATTTCATATTGGCTTGTTTAAAGTTGTCTGCACACAGGTGGTGATTAAAGCTTTGGAAGTACTTGGGTTTACCTGTAAAAGGTCTGTAGAGAAGAGGCAGATTCTTGCAGAGAAAATGAAGCCTACATCAGTTAGGATCCAGAGGCCACACCAGTTACAGTATTGCAACAGAAAAAGAAAAACATTAAAGAATTATTAAATAGGTATCTGAAGAGACAAAAAGATAACAGCCAAGTTTTAAAGGAGATAGCAGTTACAGAAAGCAGCTTCCACTCCTGGGGCTGGAGAAAGAAAGGGAAGAGGTTGGAATTGTTAAAGCCCCAAAGTTTGGAGGAGGAATCCCCTATATGAAACTCAGACCTCTGAGGAGGGGATGCTGCCTGGAGGCTGCTGGGCCTCTGAGCTTGGAAGAGGAGTCCCATGGGGCTGGGATCCAGCCCTCTGAGCAGGGGCACTGGCCAGGTGATACTGATGTCTCTGGGAAAGAGGGGTACAATAAAGGTGGAACTGGAAAAACTGCAAACCCAATTCAACTGCTGTTATGGAAAGGTACTGCCACTGACAGGGTAAAGATGTGTTACAGTAATATTAATAGAGATAGGAAGAAGACAGTAAGCAAACAGGAAAACTAGAGGAACCAAAGAGGAAGGAGCAAGTACCACAGCCTTGCTATCTCTTTCTAGTGCCTGTTAGTGCCAGAGCTTAATAGGGACCAGCTGGCAAAACAGAAATGTGGTTTACAGAGTTCCAGTGTCAGAGTCCCAAAGCACAGTGTAGAAGGTGGGTTGGAGTTGAAAGACAATAGCATGATAACTGACTGTACCTTTGGCTACTTGCTGTCCATACCTCCTTCTGCACATATTTGAACTCCCCTAGGAAAAAAAAACAACTAGGTTTCTACCTAGTGAGATACTACTCTCCTTTTTAGATATATGTCCTACCCACAAAGCGATTCTCACTCTATGTTCAATAAATTATATTCATTTCTGGAAGACACTCATAACATCTATCTCTGGGTTAGGATAATTAATTTTCAAATTCAGTCACAGTCCCATCTGAATGTTCTATTACCTAAAAGAATCTTAAAGTTAACCTCCAACAAAATTCATAAAATAAAGGAGAAGGAAATGGAGACAAGAAAATAGTTAATATGTATACAAATTACACACAAAATAGTTAATATGTACACAGATTACATGCAAAGTTGTTACAATCTTCATTTCTATAAAAAGTTGCTATTTATATATTCCTTTTCTGCCACCTCCTTCTCTTCTTTTTTTTCATTTTTTTTTGAACAGGATCTTGCTATAATAGCCCAGGCTGGCCTGGGATCCTCCTGCCTCAGCCTCCTGAGTGCTGGAATTACAGGTGTACCATACCCAGTTTTTAATTTCTAAATGAATAATACCATTCTGTCTAGCCTTTGCCTTCAGTCATTATCTTAATAGGTCAAGGTTTTTACCTTGCTAGGCACCCTAAAACTTTATTCCTGAAAGTTCTGAATCTTTAGTGGCTTTGCCTTTTGTGGTTGGTAAAGTTTCCATTCAGTTTTACTATTGAATATAGAAGTAATAACAGGCAATTTAGATTGTCCCTGGTTGGAGATGTAGTCCTCTCCGCCCTTTCTAGTAGCAGCGGAGTTTCCCTGTAATTATGAGATCAGTCTTTCCAGGTAGTAGAATAATCCCTTCTTTCCTCTATTGATTCAATGTTAGGGCTTGAGAAGGCAAACCCATGTTCGAAAATACATGTCTTTTCCAGTGAGGACAAATCTGTGCCCCTCCATAATGAAAGGGGCATTGTGTAATTCATCTGACACCACATGACTGCCTCATCCTTTCAGGGAATGGTGTCATACTGGGGCTTAGTGTAGGTTTCTGCTGTTGGCAGGTTAGGCAAGAGCAGTACTCAGTTCAGCCTTGATGAGGGGAAGTCCATATTGTTGAGGTCAGGCTTAGCCTCCAACTCTGCCAGTCAGCCACTATGTACATGGATCCAGTGGATGAGCCTGAGGTGGTTGGCAAAAGATGAAGACTGATATCTACAGCATGTTTCATTTAGCCCACCTGATTGTTCAGAACTCCTCTGTAGTAGATGTTACTTAGGAAGCATTCACATGAGACACAAATATCGTTATACTTTGTGCCCATTCAGAGAGATCCATTTTCTTTCCTAGGCTTCATTGTCACTGATCTTCTAGTTCTGTCTTTCTCACATTTATGACAAGCCATCCAGTTAACAGCTATCCATAAATCAATGTGATCTGTACATATTTCGACCATCTCTCAGTTCAGGCAATCATGTAAACAAACATTACAAACTTGAAGTTCTGACCACTGGAGGATTTCGCTTCATCATTTTCCTTCAGGGCTACTCATGAGTGGAACTGTAATCCTGCAGCCATCCACTTCTGGTTGACGCCAGCATATCTTGAACCATCATCAGACCACAAGTACTTCACTGAGGTGGCAGGCACTAGAGGAAGATGGCAAAGGTGGAAGGGGAGGATTTGCTGCTTCCTCAAGGTTCCTGTTTGCTTGCTGTCTGCTTCCTGTTTCTGGGAGTCTTGTCTTAGAGTGCTTCTTTACCTGACAGTGGCAGAACCTTCCTACAGAAGCTGCTAAATCTAGTTTGCAACTTTTCCAACCTTGCAGAGCCAGTCTCCTTTCCACTTCTGAAAGACACTAGCAGAAACACCACAAATGATTGTATAGCAGTGTAGGTTTGGGGCTGAGAAATAATATCTTAAAACTTGGCAAAAGAATTTACTCATTTTTTTTTTTGTATATAAAGGAATATTCCAAAAAAGAAAAAAAGTAGAGATAATACAAAGTAGCTTTTAAACCTTGCTTCACAATAAACTTAAAAACTTTAGAAATGTACTAAATTTTATATTTAGAAGACTATTTTGAGTATAAAAACATATATAAGTATATGAGAAATAT